CCCCGTTCCCTCCGGATATCTCTCCCAGGACCTCCACACACACACACCCCGTTCCCTCCGGATATCTCTCCCAGGACCTCCGTGCCACAGGGCGGCGGTAAAGGCGCGGAGGCGGAGGGCACGGAGGAGCTGCGCTCTCGGTGTAACCGAGGTCATCACGGCGCGACGGCGCCGCAGCGGTATCCGGCTCCTTCCAGAGCGCTCCCGTCAGGATTGTTTTCATAAAGACATGACCACACAGGTAATTAAAAACACRGCGTTAGCTAAGCTAACTGCTGGCTTGAGATATATTTATATATATATGCTGCTCATGTGTAATATTAATTATTTTTTCTTTCTAGTACGGTATTCTCTTCAAGCAAGAGCAAGGTGAGCAGACGCTAATGGGTATTGAGCAATGTTGGTGTTCTGGGATGATGTAAAGTTGATAGTGGCAGATATCCGTGTGAGGAGACATGATTAYGTTTGTGTTAGGCATAAGTCTGAGTAACTCGGAGGTAACTCTGGTGCTTTTTTAGCCGTGACKTTGGTCACACAACACAGTGCATGTTTTGGAGCAATGCAAACAGTGACAAGGCTCTCGGAGCATTCAATAGGCCTGAGGAGCAGGGGCTCTATTGCCAACATTGCAAGTAGTCGTTTCAGCATTACCAAAACTGGTTGTGGTCTTCTATAAAAAAAAAACCAAAAAACAACAACTTAAGCTTAATTTCTGCCTTTATATTCTCTTTTAGCTCATGATGATGCTATTTGGTCAGTTGCCTGGGGRAAAAATAAAAATGATGGTTCTGAAACAGTGATCTCTGGTTCTTTGGATGATCTGGTGAAGGTCTGGAAGTGGTAAGTGCTTCATGTTAACCTTTTTTAGGCCATGGAAGTAGTCAGTGTGGAACAGTCTTGAATTTCCCCAATCTTCTAACATTCCAGGGGTGTTAGAAGTACCTCAGGGAAGGGATACCCTGGCACACAGAGCTGCTTGTCTTAAACAAGCTTGTCTCCACTGGTATGTGCTTTCTCTTGGAGTGGTGGSATTCTGCTGTGCTTTCATTTTCAAAGAATGAGAATCCTTTTGAAAATGCACATCAGAGAATATTCGATGTGTTTCTAAACCAAAGAATGAGAAAGGCATCTTTTGATGAGACAATGCACTTGGAGATGTGTTCTGTGAAAGCAATAATGTGATTAGAGAAAACCAGGAAATTACATCTTCCTTTTTTATTTAAAAAAAAATCCCTATAATTATAATCCTTATGGAAATGTGCTTTTGCAAAGAAGTTATTTTGTCTCTTAGGCAAAGCAGCGTGAAGTATGTACTTCATTTCAGTGACAGGAGTAGCTTGGTTCTGGTGACTCTGAAAATGTCAGTCAYGGCACTTTGTGCTGTGCTAACAGATGTACACCAGCTCTGTGAGCACCCACAGACTGGTGTGGGATGGACGTTTTTGGTGGGATGGCTTACAAATTTAGAATTAAGTTACCTGCTTTGCAGGAATATGGTAAATTATTGATTTTTCAGTTCTGTAAGTACAGAGAGTTTGTGCATAGCCTTTCACACATCATGGATGGACTTGGATTGCCTTGTGTTGAGCAAATGGAGAAATGTGGATTGTTTGTTTTGTGTGAGGCTGGGGATCGTTCAGTACCCCGAGCTATTCTGAGGAGGCTTTTCTTTCCCTTGCACCACAGGAACGATGAAAAGCTGGATCTGCAGTGGACYTTGGAGGGTCACCAGCTGGGGGTGGTGTCTGTGGACATCAGCCACACGGGTGCAATTGCAGCTTCCAGCTCCCTGGATGCCCACATTCGCCTCTGGGATTTAGAGACTGGCAAACAGATCAAGTCCATAGATGCTGGTCCTGGTAAGGCCCCAGTGCTGAGCTGGCTCTGCATGAAAACAATGCTGTCTTTTCCTGGCAAATACTGAACAGTGCAGGATTGGGCTATACAAGGGGTTAAGGTGTTTGGGGGTTTTAATCTTTCTTTATTTGCAGAAATCTCAGTGGTTTTATGAACTCAACACAAAGCAGTATCAGACGATTTTACATTTATTTTTACACACTACTTATTCTTCTTAGGTACATGTAGATAGGCTTTTTGYGGTATGCACAAAGCAGAATGAAAACCAGCTTGCTCTTACAGATGTGTTGATAAGRGAAATTTGGAAGAAGTAATTCAAATACTTATTCAGATTGATTTACAAAGAATGAACATTCTTCATAACACTGCAGTGAATTTAAGCCATGCATGTGATCCCTTTTTCATCCAGCATATCCAATCCTGGAGTGAGGAAGTTGAAACAGTAATCAATGCTAACAATGCTAATGTTCTCCAAGCTGGAATTCAGAGTCTAAGATCTTATTCAATGTATTTCATGGGTCCATTGGCAATTGCCAATCTAAGAATACTCTCGCATTGTTTTAGGCAATTAATGTTAAGCTTATAGAAAAAAATTAAAGGCATCATGCCAGATAAATACATTGTACTGCTATAAAAAATAGTGGGTTTTTACATTCTGTTGCAAGMATGTGGACCTGTGATACATTTATATGTCTGCACATCTCCATTTTCTGTGATTTGCTACATACTAGTGTTGCTTTTTCAGTAGGTTCAATCTTCTTGTACCAGTAGAAAAGTAAGAATTTAGACTTAACTGATGAAGTCTTAAATTCTAAATTTTTTATTACAGAAGGGACTCCTAAGATCAGGGTCTTACTAGAAAACATAATATTTGAGAAACATAAATAAAYAGTTTAAGCTATGCTCCATTAATTACACAGAAGGGATAACTTGATGAGCTTGTACACTTTTCTCAGAGAATGTAGTAGAGTTTAAAGAGTAGTTAGAGGGTTGAATGTCTAAAATGCATACAGAACTGACATTGTTGAATAAGAACTAGGAATGGGATCCAGCTAACTGGTTTTTTTTTTCTTTTTAATACAGTTGATGCTTGGTCCCTGGCATTTTCACCTGATTCCCAGTATCTTGCAACAGGAAGTCATGTGGGGAAAGTAAATATTTTCGGYGTTGAAACTGGAAAGAAAGAATATTCTCTGGACACCAGAGGAAAGTTCATCCTTAGCATTGCATATGTAAGAAGCACAGTTGATAATTTCTTACAATAAATTGCTATTGCTGTAAAATAGATATTTTTATTTATCTCTACAATAATACTGACAGCCATACTTTGGTAGTTCCAAATACAAATTGTCATTCCCCCCCTGCACATATGGAAAATRTATTTTGATTTTGCTTATAGTCTTCAGGATTTTTGGAGCCCAGGTATCTGGCRTGGATCATTATTTGTGAAAAGTTGTCAAGGGAATGTCAGGGGTTACACAGCMTGGATACACACAGATGTGGAATCACACTTTTTGTGCTTTATTACAGAGTCCAGATGGAAAATACTTGGCCAGTGGAGCAATAGATGGCATTATCAATATTTTTGATATTGCAACTGGAAAACTTCTGCATACGCTAGAAGGTAATGGTTTGATTCTTGACAATACCCAAGTTCTGGCCTCATTTCTGATAAAATTAAAGAATATAATGCAAGTCAGAATAAGCTACAACCATGGCATAAGTTGATATTTTTGTCTGCTAGACAGTATTTAGTTATTTAGTGTGCTCTAACTTAAACCACATAAAATATTAAAGGCAAACTGTAAACTCAGGCTTGCATCATAAATGCCTTTTTTCAAAAGTTAGTCAGTAATGCTTAACTAAATTCTTAAATTGTAGTTTGTTGTTTTACAGAGAAGTACAAGGGAATGAAGCGAAGCCAGATGGAGGCTGCCATGTAATATGTTTTTTCTTATGGTATCTGTTCTATAGCAATTTATTGCTGTTTAGAAAAAAAACATTTAATGTTGTAGAGGACATGCATTTTTCTAACAGATAAATGGGCTTTTAATGTTCATGTGGTTTCTGCTCAGTTGTAACCAAAACCCCAACCACTTAAATATGCAATCATGCTATTAAAAATAGGATATAATTTCTAATTAAGATCCACAGCTGAAAAAAAAAAAAAGATACTCTGTGTTGCAGATATGCCTAAGAGTCAAAGTTGAAAATTGCTGTCCGTTTTCCATTTTKTGTTTTGGGAAGAAGCCTCTAGAGAGAAGTGGCTTCAGAGGGTGCTCTCTTTGTGTAGCTCTCTGAGCACTACCWCAGTGAGAGGAATCCCATGTCCTGATCCAGTGTCCCTGTGACTTGCAGGCCACGCGATGCCCATCCGCTCGCTGACCTTCTCCCCGGACTCGCAGTTACTCGTCACCGCTTCCGATGACGGCTACATCAAAATCTACGATGTGTGAGTGGGGACAGTGCCAGCCATGCTCACAGGAGAACTRCTGTTTAGAGAGGCTGATACTGGGAAAAATAGATCAAACCCTCTGCTCTCTRGAATTCCTTTCAGCCCTTGGTGACTTTTTATGTAATAAATAATCTTAAATCATAAAATACTACTTCCTTAGATATTTTTTAAGTGTATAGGTAGAAGACAGCTGTACCTTGAAAGCAAATTGCTTTCTCATATTTGTGTGTAGGTAACAAGGTAATTGTTCTGTATATCTGTCCTTTGAGTTTGTGCTCACCCTTCCTGAACATCTCTTCTGGATGTTTATGACCTATTTCTGTTGCATCTTGCAATATCTTGGAATACCCTGGGGAGGAGAAGGCACTGCTTCAGAGACCTTGACTCCCCTAAACCTGCATTGCTTTCACTTTGGTAGAACTATTTTGTCCTCCARTGTATCTTTTTAGTGACTTCTTTTCATGTTAACAATTTGAAATGGAAAACCAAAATTTGCTGTAACACCAGTTCAGCTTGGATGAACAAATATCCAGAAGTCACCTTCCATTGAACCATTCCTGATTGCACTAGCTAGAGTATATTCCTGTTGCTTTTTCCCTGAAATTCACACACCAGATGTTAAAATTTGTTCTTTCCACAGGCAACATGCAAACTTGGCTGGCACATTAAGTGGTCATGGATCCTGGGTTTTAAATGTAGCATTTTGTCCTGATGATACCCATTTTGTTTCCAGGTATTGAGGATTTTTATGATTACTGATAAAATATAGTAAGGGGAGATGGATCATAAAAATTAAATGTGTACAAATTGCAGTGGGATCTATAATGAATTAACATAAACTTTAAAGGCTCAAGATCCAATCTGTGATGATTGTGGTACACCAGAAGCTGTGGTGAGAGCATTTKAAGAGTAAGTCATTCCACTGCAGTATGGTTCCTGACAAGTGAAAAACACCTAAGAGAAGGGCAGTTTGATTCTATATAGCTGAAACAATTGCTGTTGAATCAAGAAATACAACCTAATCTAGAAGTACATTAATGTACTTGAACTTTAGTATTAATTCTTGAAATAGCTGAGGCAGTTGGGGGACCAAGTATATCTAACAGGAGCTTTATTATCCAGAGAACTTACCTGAAAGAATTTTTTTGCMAGAATGGGGTAGTCTTCATTTTCACATTGCAGATGTTGTAAATTTATTTAAAAGGTAATGAAATCTGACAGAAGATGCAGCCCTTTGCTACTTCATCCCTGTATTTGATGGGTGAAAGAGGGTTGCTTGCATCTACCACATGAGATCTTTGAATGTTTGCACTGAACTTCAGTTTATCTATTAATTTMTACATTGATCACTATTATTTGTCTTTCAGTTCATCTGATAAAAGTGTAAAAGTTTGGGATGCTGGAACRAGGACCTGTGTGCATACTTTCTTTGACCACCAAGATCAGGTAWGGCTGCTATTCCCTAAGTCAGTTCCCAGGAGAGCTTGTGTAGTTGTGCACAGCTGTGCTTCTCCTTGGTGCTGCAGCTCCRGCTTGCAGTAATGCAGTAATTTTAAATTTGTGATTATTTGGCAYTTAATATTGAGCTAGTACTCCCAAGTGTATAGGCTGATCTCTTTAAGTAATGAACATTTTTCAGGCTCAAATAAAGCCAATCCTAAGTGACAAAAGTCTTACCAGACTGTTTGTTGCCTTTGTCTCTGGTCTTACTTATTTCTATTTCTGTCACTTACACAGCTTGTGCATATGTAAGGGTGGAAATACTTACTTAAAATGATAGAACTATCTAAACAGATGCTTGAAAGCAGCCTTGAAACTTGGGACGTATTCCTCCTCCAGTGTCTGTAATACTGTGGGGTTTTCATTTATTGCTCAGTGACAACTACCTGTGAGAAAAGGAGTTAAGTTTCTACCCGTTTACTCTTTCTCCAAATGTTAGGTGATAAACAGAAAAATGTTATATTTTAATAAATCACGGAGCAAGAAACAAAGGATATTCTACCTGATTTTATTGGAGCTCTTTCTTCCCTGTACCTTTCTGCTGGTAACCTTCTTTCCAGCTCTCTACAGCTATGGGGGTTTTCATATTGAAGTACCAAGTGGGATTTGATTTCCCCTGTTGTTTTACCTGTTGTACATGGTCTCATGACTGTGGCAAGCAGAGATATATCAGCTATTGGGAATGCTGGGTTTTGGTATAAATGCAAAATAGTGCACAAGATTGCCCAAACCATACTGCAKTCACCATTCTGTAGTCTCACATTAATGTGCTGGGTAGCCTTCACCCCTCCTGATGTCATTCTGGTGGAGATGGGTGTCACTTAAGAGCTTGTGTAACTGTTAAATCAGAAAACTGACCTGAATTTTTTGAAGTTTTGCATGGATAGGTAAATGGCTGGCTGAAACAGCTCAAGGATAAACCAGATCATTCTTCAGTCTGTCATGATGTGTCAGTCTGCATGACAAATACTTCCTTGTTTTCCTGCACCATAAAATACTATTTTCAGAAAGGGCTGGAGGATGGGCAAGAGTGAAAATGCTTGACTTATGCAGACTGGGGGAGGACTTTTCAGCCTTGATCAAGTATGTCKGGATTGTGTAAGCCACTGTCAGTGGGAGTGGGTGTAAGAACTCCTCAGGCTCCTAGATGGCAGTGGTGCTGCTCTGCTGCAGCAGCCTGAGCTGCTCTTAAAGCAGAAGCCATAACTGCACCAGCTCTAATCAAGTGACTTTAAATAATCCTTCCTCTKCCGCTTGTTATGACTGCCACAAAGATGATTTCTCTTTGTCCTCACTTGCTAAATTTGTGTTTGTCTTATTTACAGGTTTGGGGAGTGAAATACAATGGAAATGGGTCCAAAATTGTGTCTGTTGGTGATGACCAAGAAATTCATATTTATGACTGTCCAGTWTAAATGTCTTGACACAGCTGCTTCTGTAAACTCTTGTGGACTGCTACTGTCCTATGTAATTTTTTAGTATGATAAAAGCATTTCATACTGATCTGTAAACTCACGTATGTTTGTATCGAATTTTGATTCTGTTTAGCATGAGAGAAAGTCTTACTTTTTTAAAATAAAAGCTACAACTMTAAGTCCTCTTGGTTAATTCTTGGAAAAATGTATTTTTGGAAGTATGGAGTCATGGGTGAAATAACTGCTCAGATAATCGCCCCTGCCTTTRAACATAAATAGACCAGGGCTGGAAAGCATAGGCCAAGTCTCACAGCAGCTTATTTTAGCAGAAGGAAAGTGAGTGAGGCTGTGCTTCAGCTATGGGAAATGAAATCCTGGGCTTGTCTTGATGTTATCCCAGTGAGTGCAAGATGATCACTTAAGCTGAACACCTGTTTCAACAATTGTGTGGCACACAGAGATCATGCATCATGGTTTAATTTCACTAAAGAGTACCAGAGGTTTGTAACCCGACTTAATACAAACACTGCTAGAAAAGATGAAAGGAAAAAAAGCTTTAATGTTATCACTGTAGTGTGGTATCATGGATGTTATAAAACAGCAGCAGGATACCCAGTGTATGTGATTTTGGTTTATTCATTATATTAAGGCACAAGTATACAATGCCTAGGAGGAAGTAAAAACCCTTTCTAGGGAAGGCTGAAATACAAAGCTTGAACTTCTGAAAGGTCAAACTTTTATTTGGAAGTATTTGCCTGTCTGTAACACATTAGAGGACAGCTTGTAACTGTAAGTCACACTTACACAGAGAAGCAGCTGAAGGAATGCTACTGTAAACCCACAGAACACAGGAACAGGGCTATGAGGCAGAGAGGGAGGCATGCACAAAATGCTTCTGAAATACAAAATGAGACAGGTACAAGTGGTGCAGCTAACAGAGAGTTGAATACTGAGAATAATCTAGATTAGGTGAGGAGTCTGAGCTTAGAAAAAATTTACTTAAATAAAGGGGGTTCTAGAGTGGCTTAGAAAGTACAAGAGAAGCATGAGAAAAGGTGAAGTACTATTTATTAGAAGTTATTCTGCTATGTTTTATTCTATGAAATTAATTTTCCAGTATGAAAGTATTTACATAAGACACTCCACTTAGCCTCTATCAATATTGCCAAAGTCTTACAGGTGAAATAAACTGAGAACCTTCACAGCAAAGAAAATGTATACCAACTCAGCTGGTTCTCAGCTGTATGACATTTGCTTTATATAGAAAGACTACAAGAACACAATATAAATTAGTTACAAAAAGGTGATACTGACAGCGCAGCAACTCAATTTGCTGAACACAAAAACCACAAGCAGTGGCTATTACAGCCATGCAGTTTTCATTGTGAAAATTTACATCTTAGATGACATCCACCTCCACCTTGCTTTAAGATGTCTGACATTGTACTCCTGTTCTTGGACCCTCCTCATCTTCTTCATAGGCTTCTCCYGCACTGTTACGGTACGTTTGCTCATTTGGATCAAAATCTTCAAGGTCTACCTGATCCATCTCATCTGTAACCATAACATCTTCTCGTGAAGGAAGCAGGGCCTCCAGCATAGACAGTTTTTCCCTTGGAAGCCAGTAGTGCTCTGGAAACTGAACCTACAATTTGACACATTTTTTTTAATGAATAGTAATTAATGTGCAAAYGTGAGTATACTGGCTACAGAAAAGCATGCAGCTTACCAAAAATTGTATAATCAGGCTGCCTTTATCCATTGGAGATTTGTAGACAGGCATCCCTTCATTGTAGATGCACTTTAGGTCACCGTGTTTTATCACTTCACCTATGGAGACAAGAGCTGTTGGTAAGCTGATGATGTGACAGGGATTTCACAGCCACACCAGACAGGGCTGTACACAAGCAGTCTTCTCACRGTACCTCAGGGAGATTGCAACCAATTCATCAAAAAGAACTAAACCCACAACTAAGGCCATTKACACTGTTTCTTCTGCTGTAAGAGAAATCAGCTTTTCTTGGCACAGCCTTCAGGCTGAATGAACAGATAATTTAGTAGAATTTAAGACTTTTGCCTCTTTAATATTTTCCTGGCTATCAACCAACTGAGGCTGAGGTTTATTAAGCTGTATTTGACAACTTTAGCCKGTAACTCTGCATATTTTAGGAGGGATAACAGCAAAGAACCAACTAAATTAAGTGATTGCCTCATGAATCTGTTGCATTATCTGGTTAAAAAAAAAAAAAAGCAAACAGAACTAACTCCCCCAGAAACTCCACTCCAGGCAAGCAATTGATACAATCAAACAGGCAAGCAGCTAGTACAGCTGACATAGTATTGTAACTGTTTAAGACCTACCTGGCCTGGTAGATATGACAAGWACTCTGTTGTCCAGAGTTTCAATTGTCTTTCTGAAACCACATAAAGCCTCCGAGAGTTGAATTCTCATTTTTGTGATTAAGTCATGCCCTCGTCTYTGAAAGACACTGTGATCTTTTTGATCAAGCACAATTATGACATCACCAGGCTCCAAATCAGGCTCCTGGTCACCTTCTCCATGAAATACTATCTTCTGACCATCTTTCATACCTGAGGAAAAGAAACCCATTAATTCTCTGCAGAACTATTGACTATTCTTAGAGAGCCAGYACAAATAGACAGTTCTTACCTTTATCAACATGAACTTCTATGATCTTTTTCTCTCTTACAACCTTACAGCCATTGCAGTTGTCACACCTGTCCTTTGGATTTATTCTTTCACCTTGGCCTTTGCATTCTGGACACACAGTTTGGATTTGCTGCACCATACCAGGTCCAATCTGCTGAACTATAACTTGCATCCCTCTTCCTTTACACACAGGACATTTTTCCACTGCCCCTCTCTTTCCGCCATAACCTTTGACAAAAAAATTAAACTGGATCTCAGTCTCAAAAAATTACAGTAGTCAAGCTGGAACTCACTGACTTCAGGAGCATCTTTAGGGTAACTGGAAGAGTAGTTCAGTAATGGAATTAAGTTGCCATCACAAAACTTGCCCCACAAGCTGGACGTTTCTACAAACAAAATGCTTATACAGCTTATTGTATTAGTCTCTGCTCCACCCCCCAGTAAATCCTGGTTTCCAAGGAACTGTCAGCATACCAAATTCAAGACATACACATTCCATTAATACTTGGAAAAGAATCTGCTTACTAAATATTTAATGGAGTACTAAGATACAAGACCTTATTAAAATTTACCTCAAAGAAAACCAGTCATTAGGAGTATTTAATAACTGTAAAATGAGTTGTGTAACAAAAGCCAGACTTCTGCCCACAGCAATTAAAAAAGTTTTACAGAACAGACATTTATGTCCAGGTTTTAGACGAAGGTCGTTAGTTTAGGCACCCCTAACTATAAYCCACAGTGAGTTTCAGTCTGCCATTAGATCACTTTGTAACACTTTGGTTGAGAGACTTATTCTTGGATAAGCATAAATAAGAATCAAATACCCTGGCAGACTTTCATGGAGCAGGCAAAGAAAAAGGAGAGAGAGAAGTAAGAAAGSCTCCAGACTTTTTTCTCAGCCCCAGACAATCCACACAAACAACCAAAAATAAACTTGAAGAGGGGTTTGAAATCACTACTTGTGTTTTTACCTTCACACTTTGCACAAATAACATTCTTTTGCAGAGCCAGTTTCCTTGTTATACCATTATATAAGTCTTCAAGAGATACACCTAACTGGTGCACAACATTTTTGCCTTTAAAAAAACAAAAGGGAAATATTAATACTAGTCCAGCTGCAGTGAAGACAAATGTTCATGCACAGTCTCACTGAAGAAATGCAGAGTTCATTCCAAATTTTGAACACAACTCAGCCCCCTTTAAAAGCATGTGCAGTTCCATCAGCTTCCACTAAGCTCCACCCATTTATGTCCAAACATAAAAGTTGAGCTGTAATTAAGCAAAGCATCATTAAAGCCACCCTATCCCTGCTCCTACTCCTAATTTTATAAGCTTAACTAAAACAGCAAGATGCAAGGACACTACCAGCTTCAGATCTGACAATTTAAAAGTTAACTATTATGCCTACCTCTGAGTTTCCATGCCACTTCATAGCACAATTTCAATGATTTTACAGCAAGTTACTACTTGCTCCTTTAACAGGAATTGGGCATGGAAAAGACAAAACTCATACCGTGCTTTTGGCAGCACTGTACTCAGTTTCACATAATTTCTCCCAAATATTTTAATGAAATTTAGCATTACTGAAATTTAAGTTGATGGTGTCCTTTGAAGCAAGTTGCCCAAAAGCATATGAGCAAGTGAGGCATAGATTTGGAAAAAAGGTAACTTAAACAGGTCTAATTCAACTGCTGATTTACTAATGCTTCCCCCTCCCCTACAGACTACCCACGCCCCCTTTAACAAAAAGTAAACAGAACTTAGCAGAAAGAAGGCTATGGCTAAGTCATGTTATCTACTTTATTAGAATCTTAATGCTAGAGTAACTAGAAAAATAATTTACTTATTCTATTGTTGCAACAAGTAATATCCACACTATATGCACTTAGCAGAACAGCAGTACCATAGCACAGGTGGTTTATGCTTAAGTGCATGGTTAGAGTTTCTAGAACTTGTTTAGAACTGTGTACCTCTTCTCTCTCTATTCATTCGGCCTCCACCACCAAAGAACATGTCAAAGATGTCCATGGGTGAAGAGAAGCTGCCGCCACTCAGGCCTCCTTCTTTAATAGCCTGCTCCCCACCCTGGTCATAGAGGTCCCTTTTCTTTGGGTCCGACAGAACTTCATATGCCTGGGATATAAGTTTAAACTAAAAAGAAAAAAGAAGCTCTGAACAACTATGACCAAGAGGAAAAGTAGCCCTCTCATATGCAACTCCATCTAYAGATGGAGCCTCTACAGCACCCTCTTGTAGCATTTGTCTGTTTCCAAAAGGAAACTCCCTAAACAAATGGGAACAGACTATAATAGTACACTTTAGTCCAGGAAAACCACCCCTTTCCTCCCTTTCCCCCCTCCTCCCATGTTTTAAGCAGGCTCCATTCAGAGCCACAGCCAACTTACAAGCACATGCCAACTACATTTTGTTGACTGTGGTAGTTGCAACAACCATTATAACCTCTACCAATCCATTTAGGAAGGCATACGGTACTGGCCCTCAGATCTTGCAGGTCCCCAGTTGCTCATGGCCACAGCAGTGCTAGTCAGCCTAGAGCCACACAGGAATCCTCCATGCCTGCTGAGCTGGTACATGCAGCTACAACAGAGATTTRTGTGACCAGACACTGGTGTTGCTTACTCATCACAAACACAAGGACTCAGATACAAATCAAAACACCCACTTTAACAAAACAATTAAGGAATTTTCTTAAATAGCTATAAAGTATTTCCTATTACTAGGATTACCAACTTAATTTTAAAATATAATTTGCTGTTACTGGAATGACCACTTGCATTCTARACATCATTTACTCATGGCCATGTAAAGTGGTCTAAGAAAAAAAAATCCAGCAAAACAGAAAAGGCTACCTTTGACTAGGCTACTGTTTGAGTTCTGTAAATTACTCTTCTACGGATGTATGGACCTTCTATTCCTATATCAAGGTATAAGCAGACCAGCTTTTAGATAAACAATCCCATCGTTCATGTTTTCCACAGTTCTCCAATTGTGGAGCTCGTTTATCATCCAAGCCAACACAGCTGAGCAGGTCTGGCTGATAGCATGTAAAATTGCTCTGTTGTAAGCAGTTCACCCACGTGCAGCCCAGTGATTCCCTGGGGATAGTTACCTTGGACATCTGCATTAGCATTTTTCTCTGAAGAAAACCCATCCTGTTCAGGAACACAAATCCATCCAGCACAACAATGCTGGCAGCTGGATCCACCACCAGCCTTTTCAACATCTGACAGCACAGTGGCCACTGGGACACTAGAAATCCTTCCAGCTTTGCCCGTTTTAATCAGCACCTCTAAGGATGATCTTCTACTGCAACTATAGGAAGACTGGTGCGCACCACATCTAAAAAGAATTGCCGCATCCCCTTTACCACAGCTGGGCCRTCAGGCCTGCTGCCAGGCTCACATGTCTGATAAAGACCTGGAAGTAAGGGAGCCTTCACGTACTGGCACTATGCTGCAAGAAGGGGAAAGCAGAATTTGCTCTACGATTGCATGCTGGATGTAACAACGGCCTATCTGCGGGGGACCCGCAGCCCCTCGTGGGCGGCCCTGCGCCCGTCGCGGTTCTCCCTGCAGGGCCGCCCATGCCGCGGCCCGGTGGAGCCTGGTGGAGCCTGCAGTGAGCCCGGCTCAGCCCCGGCCCACGGGAAGGGCCGGACAGGGCCTGCCCCGCGCAGGGGCCGCAGGAGCCTCCGGAAGCGCCTCACGATGGGTGGGCGGCCCACGGACCCCAGCCCAGCCCCGGCTCCTGGCGCCGCATACCCGCTCTCCCTCGCTGGGGTTCTTGTCGGGGTGGTACTTCAGCGCCAGCTTGCGGTARGCGCGCTTGATCTCCTCGGAGGAGGCATTGGGCTTCACCTGCAGGATGTCGTAGTACTCCGTCTCCTTCACCATGGTGGCTGCCTGTGGGAGGACGCGCCACGTTACCCTCGCGTTACCCCCGCGCTGCCCCGCCCGGCGCCCCACCGAGGCCCCGCGGGCCGCGCTCACCGCCGCGGTCGCYCYGTTCCTGAYGCCGGTACCGCCGCTGCTGCCGCCYGCTCAGCGCTGCCGGCGGCCCCGCCTCTTCCGCGGGCTTTATACGGGGCCCGGCCGAATCTTCTGGAATGACGCCGCGCGTGACGTCACGGGGCTGGAACGGTCTAGAACGGCGGCGCGTGACGTCACCGCCGGTGCGCGCGGGGGGCGGAGCCTCGGGCCGGGCCCGGGACTGCGCTCAGCGTTTAATTTGGGATTTACAGCCGAGTGTATCGCAGGGCTGTAATGGCACAGTCTACAGCTGGGACTTCCCAGGGAACGTGTCTGGCTTTCTTTGAGCACAGCTCACACAAACCAGGACTCGGGCAATGGAGTAACGAGGAGTTAGCATTCAATGTGAGCTGGAAATTATAATCTGTGATAGTGTGGTTATACAAGTCTATAGTGTTACCTCTTCTTTATTGCTTTTAGATTTATACATGATACGATTACTCCATGAAAGTTCCAAAATCATGACTTTATTGGGAAGCTTTAGATGCACCTTTAATCAGGGTTAAAATATGACTATTCTGTGGAATTAAAATATATTAAAACCCGCCCGATATTTTATATATTCGTACTGTAGAAACAATCTTCTCTGTCTAGGCCAGAGAGCCTCCACCTGTGTCAGCTTTAGACAAGTCTAAAGGAGCGTGGGCCCGGCTCAGAGGGGTCTCTGAGGTACCGGGGTTTGTCCCTCACGGTCCCGCCTCAGCTGGCGCCGGTTTCTCTCTGTCAAAGCTATTAATTCACCCTGCTACAACCTGCTGCGAGCTGTGTGTTACATCTTGTTCTGGTGAATTAATAGATGTTTTCCTGATGCCTTGTTCCTCAGTATTGTGGGCCTTTTGAATTAATTGGGCTAATGCTGTGCTCCTGCACTGTATCTGTTTGTTACTTGCCCTTTGCTCAAGCTGGCCTGCCTGGAGCAGGCTTGGAAGGTGGGATAGTTTTCCTCTTTTTCCAGGTAACCGAAGGTCCTCAATTAATTATTTACTGCTCAGGGGAAAGGACATAACTGGTACTGAAGCAAAAGACTATTTTCATAGAAGATGGCAACTTAATGCTGGAAAATCTTAAGTGAAAAATAGAGAAAAGCTGCGTGAACTGAGAACAGATTTTGTTCAAACTTGAGTTGAGTAGAAATTCTTACAAGTCCCTTTTTTATTCCAGGAAACAGTTCTTGATTCCTGGGAATAGTTTTTTGAAACCAGAACATCTCCTGTGGTTATGATAACCCAAAAGTTCCAGTACCTTGCCCTGCCAACCACAGCYCAGGTAAAGAGTCAGGATGGCTCTGAACCAAAAAAGCCCCGTTCTGTTGTCTAACAGTGGGAAATGGAGAGAAAAGAAAGCGGGGGAAAAAGTAGCAGTGTGAGATCTGAAAGAAAAATTGTCATAATTTRGAGCTCTGCTGCCATTATAATGAACTTCCTACTGTATTTCAGGTAAATACTATTAGAAGATTGAATTAATACAATCTGCTTATATTAAGCATGTAAACTTACTGAAGGAAGGGAAGCTAATTACAGGAAATCAACACAAAATATCAATGAAAGGAACAGTTCAAAACCACAAGAAAGAAATCAGTGTTGGTAACTATTATTTTCTCTGAGCATAATTATTAACAGCAGCTGAACATGYAAATCAGTGTTTTGCAATTGTGAAATTATATTGACAAGTAAATACAGGAAATATTTTCTAAACATAACTATGGTAAATTACTCTGTARACTTGTAGGCCGAGAAYTAAATATGCCCTTTTTAAGGCAAAAAAGGGYTTATTCTCATAATGGTCTTCACCCTAAAGATAAATTAGCTATAATCTATAGTCCTGAACATCACATTTCCATTTATGAAGAAATGATAAATAGCTTTGCAGCACCTTCAGCACATGAGAAGCTTTCAAAGTGCATAATGAATTCTAGAGATCAATTTTTAGTATGYYGTAAAATGAGTATGTAATTTCTGTGAGTAGAAACCCTCATGTAGGTGTTTGTAGATATTGGTAAATATAATAAGAACTCACACTGGTGGGTGGTATCTTACTGTTGTTAGTAGCAGTAACAGCCTGTGGATCTTTGCTTAAGAGGATTGGGCCTCTGCTTCATTTACATTTAGYTTATTAGGGAGACACATCATGTTATATTTACTTTATTATGCTATATTTGTTTTCTCCATCTTTGCTTCCAGTTGGTACAAAGTCCTTATTCATTCAAAGAATTAGTGGGAAAGGTAGTTAGAGCTGGTGTTTGAGATTAGAAAAGCAGGAGAGATKCCAGTCAATGGATGTTCTTTGCATCAGCATCCATCTCCTCCACCACTCTAGGCTGAATGATGCAGTTGTCCTGATACCTGAGGGGAATACAGTACTATAGCTGTCTGAAGCAAAATATTTCCTATTTATGAATACTGTATTTATGGAGCAGGGTTAGAATCCTCAGGAGCTGATTTTGTCATGATTAGTAATAAATGTAATACAGCCTTCACATAGGCAGATGTATTTCTCACCAATCACAGTGGTTGTTCCTGTACTCAACCAGCCCGATGATCAAGGGTGTACATGCCAAGGTCTGCTTCTTTTGCTGTACATCTTGCCTTCTTAAGTCTGTGGTTGTTGATAACCTGCTGTTGCTTACCCATTTTTCAGATGAGCAGCTAATTCCTTTTACTGTTCTTTCCCTTTCTTCCCTCCTGCCATGTGTGACATGAATCACCTTGTCACTTTTTACTTGAACAGTATCCAATGCATGTGGGTGTAAACAGGAAAACAAGCAGAGAATTTCTGTTCTCTGCAAGGAGGCAGGACTGGACTGGGTATGAGGAGTAATTAGATCTGGTGCCTGTTTCATTTAACCACCAGAGGACTCTGCCTATGGTTCTGAAACAGGTTTTCCACTGTTAGCCCAAAACAAGAGTTAAAACTGCTTCGCTCTGACCTTGGGACCATGTAGCATCTTTATATGCTACAAGAATTACGCATTATCTTTTAATCCCATTATATAAACCACTGCTAGAATCTCCTTGTTTGTATTTCTCTCTTTTATCTGGCTATATTACTATTTCTCATTCTTGTTGAAAGCAGCATCCTGGAGATACAGGTAGGAGTACAATTTGCTGAATTGCAGCTGCATCTTCTTGCAGCACCCTGGATTTTTGTAAAGAATCAAGAATAACTTTTATTACAAACACCAGGAAAAAACCCAAGAATCTGAAGGACTGAAGTTTGTGTCCCTTTTCAGTCACACTAAATTTACTTAGAGAGCTTCAGTAGTTTCTCTGTTAGGTGAAATTAGAATCACAGCCTTTCCTTTGTGCTGAGCTGGATTCTTTSAAGCATTCAAACCTCTACAGTTGTCACAATTTCTACAAACCTCTTAGGAAAATACCCTTTAAATAATGTTTTTAAGCTATGATTTTTAGTCTTAATAAAAATATATATTCAACAGTAAAGTATACCAGTTTCATTTAATGAATCTTTAATGGTACTGAACCCATAGTTAATATATGAAAAGGATATTTTGTACAGAAACAATCTCTGGAAAATATTTTTGCTATAGAGGGARATAAAAGATCTGTATTTGCAAGAAAATTTAAACGAGGGCATTTGTTTTGAGCTATTTTAGGGTAGTGTATAGTGAGTGACTAGGAGTCACAGTTGGGGGAAAATTTCTGTCTCTAACCTGAATTCTTTCATTAGAAATTAATTAGTATAAAAAAGCATATCTGAGTTTAAAAAGTTGTTGCTTGCCTGGAGCTTTTCATTCTGGAATCTGCCCTCAGCATCATCTCCTTGGCCCAAGATTGCATGAATTGGTTGATCCTTACGGAATGTGTTGACAGTCACTTGTTTAGTAAAACTTAATGGAGGCTTCACCACATCAGTGTTTGGATTTAGAATTTTGCATAAATCCTGAAACATACTCTCATTTAGCAGTACCTGTGGAGTTTCATTATTTTTTTTTACTTTAGCTAAAATGTTTTAGACACCAAGTGAAGTCTTTCATTTTATGAGAAAGTGGGGGAAAGAGAGCTGTGTGTAATCACAGTAGATGCWGTTGAATAGAACATAGCAGCCACAGGGCTGCAATTAGTAGCAAGTTGAAAAGWTGACAGCCTCTAAGAACTGATTTGAAATAAAAAAGATTAGAAGTGATGCCATTTATGTAAAGAAATGTAACAAAGCCTTTGAAATAGGAAACGTAAAGGTTATTAGATGCTTTGCTGGTGGTTGTTGTGGGGTAAGGGTTTTTTGTTTTAGTGAAGGATTTTTTGTTTTGGTTTAGATTCAGTGCTGGGCCATGGCAATAACAATAGGACTACCAGTTTAACATCATGTTTGTATCAAAAAATATTTGTTACCAGTTACATGACTGAAAAAAAGAAAAAGGAAGAGAGGGCAGGGGCTATCATACAGTTGCTTAAACTAATTGGGRTGAGTAGAAACGAACATCCAGAATTAGTCCACCCCTCCATTTGTTTTAAGTAAACACGAGTTTGATGGTGAAACATTCACTTTCTTGCCTTACAAATAAATCGGTGGGGGAGTACACAGCCCTGGGTAGGTTCACATTGCCATAGTGTTACTGTGAATTAAACCTGAAACATCCTGTCCCAAACATGTTCCACCCACGCCCAGGCTGGTCTGCCTTGCCGTTCTGTTGGTTACTGACCTTAGTAACAACATGGCTTTATTCTGACTTCTCTAATATTTGTTCGGGATCTTGTGACAGTGCAATTTTGTAGTGCCAGTGTCTTCAACTATAAGGTATCAGTTGCAAGTTTCTGAAAGATACCAGTACTAATTGCAGAGCCAAGGATGTGAACAGTATGTGAGCTTTATTTGGCTTTTATATTCTTTCATAGCTTTGTGAGCCTGTCAACGCCCAGAAATCTTAACCCATAGCTGCAAAAAGCAGCCCATCCCAGCACAAAAATTCAGCTTGTGTCTAGTGCAGTCTTGTGCAACTTGTATGCAGGTAGATTTAGGCATAAAAGAAAAGGATCACAGCATCTTGTAAGGTGTAGCATGTA